CCAATTCAAATTGAAATCTTCTGACTGAAACTATGAATGCTAACCATACATGAATATTTTGAAGGTATGTTATGCTTTAAACAATTGTGGGAATATTCACTCTGAGATGTTCAAACTGAAATTTAAATGTTTCTAAAAAAGTGATACTGGAAAGAGCCATTTCTTGAACTGTTCCATTTTGTTATAGAAATGAAAACTGTGAAGGGTCTTGGAAGTCTTGTGCTCCAAACACAGCTCTACAAAGAGGGAATTTCTGCAGATGTGTTCATATATGTGTGCAAGCTTCCCTTTTTCTTTATAGCACATTGTATCAGCCATGGGCATCCTGGACTAGAATGTCATACTGGGCTGAATAAATAGATTTAGTAGAGAAACTTGGATCGCAGAATCAGTAGACTGCATGTAAGAAATGCAGTATCCTTCCCTAAGAGTTAACCTTTGGGGTACTCTGAAGGAGGAAGGGGAAAAATGTGTTAGTCCAGGTGAGTTTGTCATGTCTTTCACTGGATAGAATGACCCAGGAGTTGTTCAATTCTGTGAGCATTTCTGTGCTCTGTATTTTACCTTCATATAGGACAACGTAGGCATAGCAAGAATTCCTCCAGGCGTTCCTTCCTGACTCGCAGTGTTGAATGTAAACATACTCCAGAAAAAAAACACCCTCACAGGCACTTAAGAAGAGATTCCTCCTGAAAGTCCTCCATATAACTTATCAAGTGTCCTTCCAGTGTTGTGTTAAAACCACAGGATTGCTGATAATCCATCCTAATGTTTTCTTTAAGTGTTTTTAAAATGTGAATCTTCATAGTTTAATCTTACAGTTCTTTAGGATTTTTGTAATTTAGGCCATGAATTCATTTTATATAGGATTGTTGGTTAATGTACGAAGGAGGAGGAGAGAATATTCTGTATTCACATATAATTAAGGAGTCAGTGGTTAGAGGGAATACTTGATACAAAACCAAAACAGAATAAAAGCCCGGAACCTTGAATGAGGTGAGAATTATTCATTGCAAGAGAGAATTCAGGAGGTATAGAAGGATCAGAGCCAACATTAAAACATGAGCAGGAGGCAGGAGGCTGCTGGCACCGGACCAGTACACATATCGATCATTCAGAAACTGAGCAGGCCGAAAGTTTTCAGACATGAGTGTTGAGTTCGTCCCTCCGAAGTGAACTGATGAGAACTGGGAAACCTGCAGACATCGGAAAAAGAAAATTGTAAAATCCTTTTTTTTTTTTTTGTGGAACACTGGGAATTATAAGCTTTTATAGCCACAGTGCCTTATTCTGTGGCGTTGTTTTGATCTGTATGGATGTGCTGAACCTTACAGGAAGCACTGTGCTGGAGGCTACTGCCAGAGGTGACCCACTGATTTCAGAGTCGGAAATCACATGGGCTTCCTGTGTGAGCTGAATGCTTTTTGTCCAGCCCAAGGACTTGGTTAGATCAGACCTTGTGACACACACGTTCTGTCCTTGTCTGTCACATCACAGGGATACAACGTAAGAGGATTAGGTTTATGTGACTCATTTCTTTGTTTGCTTAGAAACTGGCGCAGGATTGAGATGCTCAGCCCTGTGTGCTGTGCTACGTATTGAGGCCGAGCCTTGCTCTTTGGGTAAAATGATTGAATACACTGCAAATAACAAGCAAAAATGAAGGTGCTGACTCTTGCCCAACTAGTATTTGCTGAGATTCCATTCCAGGACATCTTGATTGTTTTAATCATACACTCTGTCAGCTGAGCAACATGCATTTTGGAGACAGTCGTGACTTGGTCTCCTGTTCCTCTTTTTTGAGAGTTGATTTAAGAGAGCTCTCTTAAAGAGCTCTCTTAAGTGATGCTGTCAAGTCTGGCATTAGGAGAGTGTATGGATTTAACCTAATGCTGACATGTGTCTGTTTGTCATAGCAACAAAACCTTGGAAGCTTTTTTACACCAGACAGCAGTGGGCACGGCAGGCTCCCCAGGGCAGGGGCACAGCCCCAAGCTGCCAGAGCTCATGGAGCTGGTCCCTTCCAACTGGGAACATTCTTTGTTGTTCTGTTCTGTGATTCCATAAGCAGTGGAGCAACAGGCCTGGGTTAACTCATGCGAGGCAGGCAGGAAAATCATGGGAAGCAGATCTTTCAGAGCATCCCTCTGAGACTCACCTGCCATAAACTGAGTTTAATTGGCTTCTCAAACACTGTCCAGATGACCGTCTCGTGGCAGTCAGGAGTGGTGAGGGAGCCCTCGTACCGATAGTACCTTTCAAGTTCATGTGTTGGTGGGAGAAGAGAATTCAGTGGCAACGGCTCCATCTGTGATGACATGTCTAGGCAAACCAGGCAGAAATGCTGTTTTTAACAAGCACAGCTGAAGGTGTTGTTCATACATGCCTTCAAATGCACCTGCAGCTAATGCATGTGTAAGTTCTTGTCCCCAAGTGCTCTCCCCAGGCTTGCTGGCACAGCTGCCTGCAATGCATTGCTTGTGAAATGCATGACCACTGCCTGCAAAATCCCACAGAACTCAAAATATGAACACCTCTCATTATAAAAAACATTTGTTTTTTGTTAAAACATTCTTCTGCATGCTTTTCTTCTCACTTTGCTTTGTTCTGCAGAAACAGAAATACTCATTCTGGTGCTTAGGTGTTCTTCACCTGCAAATATCGAGAACTAGATTTTCTCCCACCTCCAATGCTCTGAGTTCTTGACAAACCAACCTTTATTCTTTGCCTGTGAATTTTCAGTAACAACCTCTACTATAACCAGGATGGGATTGGACCTTGAATTGTCATGTAGAATATATGCTCAAAGTAAATAGATGTGTGTATCAAACAAGCCAAGTTTCTTACCTTTCTGCAGAATATTATCTAATTCACTTATTAGAGTTGTATAGTTTTTATTTTCTTCATCAATCTGAAATGGAAACATTTTTATTCCAGATTATATATTCCTCAGCAAGTGGTTATTTTAAATGAATTGTGAATGTGGCAGTCAAGATTCACAAAGGTAACAGCAGCAAGTGGAATATAGAAAAGGATAAAGGAACCATGCTCTGGCATTGCATGTCCATAGAACTTTAGGAAGGTTTAGGTCTTGGAATAATGTAATATTGACATCGTGGTGCATGGGCCAACTTGCTATTAGATTGGAGAGAAAGAATTAGAATTTGGCCACCTACCTTTATAAAGAATGCTAGCACAGCTATACCATCTGCGTAGTTCTTTGCATCTGTTAAATCCAAAGCATCTTCTCTTATGTGGACAATATGAAGCTGTAACAAAACAGCTAAGTTAAAAGTTAAGGCCAATGATGTGCTTCCTTTCCTCTGCAGTTAGTTTTAAGTGTAGCCTGGCTGTTTCTCTGCACTATGGCTTTAGTAGAGCAAGAGCTGCTTCCCAACCCATGTACCAGAAGATAAGTGCTCTGTGGACTGCAGCAACCCTCCATTTTCAGGCTGTGCAGTGGAACAGTTGAACTTTTACTGTTTGACAGTGGGTGGTGATGTCCTTCCACCAACCCATGCGCACCAGCACTGGCAACTTGCCTTGACTTGGAGAGACTTTTATTTTTCTCAGGTAAAGAGATTAGTTCACTGTTGCAGTCCGGGAATGGAATACATAGTCTGAATAAACATATGAGTGTAATCAGACTATGCAGACTTGGAGGTAGTTCTCCCTAAAAGCTGCGTAACTCCAGATTTGCTATCAAAACTGTGCCCTTGTTACGTAAATTCAGCATGTTTTCCTTAGTGTTCTGATTAGTGAGCAATGTGTCACAGATTCTTTATTTCCACTTGTTGGTGATTCATAGGAAAACTGCCCAATACTTTTTCTCTCACAGTGTCATAAAAATACAAAGTATTTTAATTATGGCCCAAATCCACTGGTGGTCCCACCTACCTCCATAGCTTGTTTTTCACCATCTATGCTGTGTTCTGACCCAGGAAAGTAGAGCTGTTCCTCTTGGACTCCCCAGTGCAGATGGAATTCTACCGCCTTGTATCTTCTATTCAGACCTCCGCCTTCAATTGTAGGGTTCATGCTCAGTGTTACTTTAACTGGGGAAAATGAATAAATAGTTTCTAAAATGTTCACATCATACATTAATACACCGGAGAGATTGAAATTTACCCTGAGGTTCAGGTTTGATTTTTCATACCAAGTGTTCCACAAATTCAATTCTTCAGAAACTGAATTCTTAAAACATGCTGAGACAGATTGGAGATGAAAAGATGGAATATCACAGCCCGCTTTCTGGTAATATGAAGCAGCATTTGGGTGTTCCTCACCTATGGCACTGCACCTGGAGCTCCTGCTCCCTTTTCTAGCTGGGATTTGTTCTGAATTACTTGTTTATCCTCTTAATTGCTAGAGAACTGAGTTACTCATGACTTCATCTGCAGATGTAAGAAAATAAATTTGATAAATGCTGCTATAGACTACTCTGGGAAAGTGTTTTATAGACTTGTATGGCTTTCGTTTGTTTATCCTTCAGAGAGTTATCTGTTGCATTTTGAAGAAAGCAGGGTAATAGATTGTCTTTTCTTGTTTGAGTAGGGGATGGTTCACTGCCATTACAACCCAGGGATTCGAGGTGCACATCTCATTTGGTCGATCCTGTACTTCTTCACAGTGCCCCCTGTCAATGTGCAAAATCTTGTCTGCACTGTAACATTTATTTTAGACGCTATTATTTAAATTGGACCTGATTCTGCTTTAATTTAGATTGGTGCTACTACTTAAGACAAAGCATTAAATCATTTTATCTATTTAATGTGAGGATCAATTATCTGCTAAATAGCAAAATAAAATTACCCCAGAAAATATATTTTCTATCTGTAAGTGGCCATCGCCTGTGTAAAGCACACGGTGTGCCTGAGACATCCAGTGTGTGCTTAGAAATCTGGCTTGTGAGGGTCTCTACGTGAAAGCCGGTACTTTTATTTTTCCATGAGGAAGATGGATTAAAGCCCTGGAGATTTCACTTCAGTTCTGAGTTCCAGATGAACTGGAAGCTTCTGTGAGTCACTCAGTTACTTTTCTGTTTTATCTTTACGTGGATGTTAATGTATCTTTGTTGGCTTGGTTTATTTAGATTGTAGGACCTTTGAGACACTGACCTTTACTGTCTGCACATCACTGAACATAATGATAGTCTAATCTCATGTAGAGCTTTTAATTGCTCCTGCAATTTAAGCAATAGCAGTTTCAGTGTTGTTCTCACAGCACAGGAATTGGCTGCACACAAAGGAAAGAAATTTTGAAAGCCCAGATATAACTGTAATTCTTTTGCTTGTTTGAAAACAATGGCAGTTCTGAACAATTGCTTTTAATATTAATTTTTATGTAAAAGACTTACTATGCACAGTGACTGTAATATGGACTCTAAAATGTCATAATATGAGATTCATTAACCTGCATATTAGTGAAAAATCAATCATGGATTTTTCTTATTGTTTGTCAAAACACTGATGATCTGAATGAGGATCTGCAGTGGTGAAAACTTGTCCAGCTGTCTGTGTACTACCTCTCCATCTTAGCTGAGGAATGTATTTAAAGCCCTCAGCTTCCCCTTCTGAGAATTCAGCCATTAAAACAACACATCTAAGATTTCAAGAATACCAATGGATAACTTTAAAAAAACTATGTCTTGTTGCATTTTTTAATAGTAAGTTAGCATAATATGGCTGAAGTATCATCATTACTATTGCCTTGATTGAAAAGAGAAAGTCAATCAGTGTTGAGCTTCTATTCCTGGGATTATGATTTATTGAGTTGCTGTTCACAGACTCGTTTACTGAATCAGTAAAGAGCTGATCGACAGCCCCACGTTGTATTACTTCCTCATTTGGAAAAAATAAAGCCCATATTGAAGTCTGAAAGGATTTCTGCTCATTATTTACAGAACTAGCAAGACACAGCATCGCACGCCAGGGGTTGAATGAGTCTCCCAGGTTGTATTGTTCAGCAAAATCCTTCCTTACACAGAACAAGTGTTAGAGAGGGCAAGCCCAGCAGTGAAGGACATAAGTTTATTCAGCAAATGTCACGTATCTCTGCAAAGTCTGTTACCCCTGTGCCTCTTGGTTCTAGATGGTGTTATCTGACTTAGAGGTTCCCTGGCTGTCTCAAGCTTAGTTCTGTATGACACATCACATTTCTGTTGCGGTGCTCAAGGACTGTGTTCAGGATCCAGAGATCAGACAACAAAGTTCCCACAAAGCCTTGGTTCAGGTTTTCTGAAAGTTTTGTTTCTGAAATAGGAGTGTGCTAGCTCCTTTCTTTCCAGTAAGTGAAAGCAGTGGTAGGTAACAGCTTGCTCAGAACATGGAAGGAGGGAAAGGAGACGCAGTGTGAAGATGCAAATAAGTTCCATCATAACGTATTTGACAGTACTTGCCTGTATGTCCATTGTTTTCTATTGTCCATTTTGAGGTCTCTTTCACATCATAATTTTCAAAATACAGTGGCGTCAGGCTCTTGTCATAAATGACGTTTTTGGTGACAATATTGATGGGTGACTGTTTGCTTCCTTTGCAGTTGGCATCTACTACATGCCAGCGTCGAGGGTCTATTTAAAAACGAAGAAAATATTATTTTTCTGTAGGCTGAAATCCTTGATAAAACCAGAACACCCACCAGCTAATGCACACTTGCTTGGGAATCTGGAAACATTTTTTTATAAAAAGAAAGAAAGGTCTTTGGGTAGTGGAAATTTAATAAAGGAGTTTTCTTAGTGTGTAGTTGTTGTATTCTAAGAAATGTTAATACACTTAAACATTGTTAACTAAAATAGGAAAATAAGAACATAGACATGGCTGTAAAGTTGAATTATACTATTGTTGTGATTAGCTGGCTGACTGGAGAATAAAAATAAATAAAAGAGTTGTGGTGATGGGGATGTTGGGATTGAAATGCTGTTTCCAGCACAGCCAGGCTTGGGAAGGGCATCGCTGGGCACAGTGTTGAGCAATGGAGCAGGCAGCCAGCATGGGTACTGCTGGTAAAACAAAGGCTGCAGCTGTAAGAAGATCAGGGTTTCTCATAACTCTGTCCTCAAGAATTTAAATGCTTGTCTATATCAGACTTGCTGGGATGGTTACCTCTCCGTTGTGTTTTTGTATTTGTAGCTTTATCCTTGCCTGGTACAAAATGAATAGAGCAAATACTGACATTTTTAAAATGCCCTCGTTAGGCACCGTATTCAGCACTTGTGGTTACTTGTAGTGTGATACACAGCATTGCATGCAGCTGTGTGCATCCTGCCCTTTGCAAAGCAGAAGGGCCCAAACACCAACGTGACCAGAGAAACAAATTGTTGAGCAGTACCTTCACAGCTTGGCTCTTCGTTCTTCTGCGACAGATAGCACCAATGTTGTCCAACTAAGAAACAAACAAACAATATGGTCAGACATTCAGAATTAGATGAGTGAAAAACTGTACCAATTGCCCCTCCAAAAAGCAGATGTGGAACGGGTTTGGAACTTGCTGTCCTTGGGGAGTGATGAGGTTATGACTGGCCGTGCAGCTTTGACATCTGCTTGGTCTGCTTAATTTTATTAGAATCAGAAATCTCATGTTTCGTATATATAAATAACAACCGGGACAAGGTGAGTGCTTTGCTTGTAAATAAACCTATATCTTGTTGCTAGACATTTCTTAGCAATATAGAATGCACACCCAGGTTATCCTGGTTCTAGTATCAAATACTTCAGAAGACTGTGAAAATTATAGCAACCCTGTCCTCTTTCTAGATCTCCTTCTGGTCCTACATGAATCAGTCTACACCTGTTAATACTCCTTCACAAAACTGTGGTAGCATGAAATAGTAGACCTGTAGATGAGCTGCAGTTCTAAACAATGTGGTTTTGATACCTTGGCTTAAGGGAAGGTTCTAATCTGAATTTGTGTAGTGTTAACGTAAATAATGTCTTATCTGTACTTGTCATTGTTTCATTTACTTGGAAATTAACTCACTCAGGATGTCTTACCTCACTCTTTGCACAGTGCTGCACAAGATACCTTGTGCAATAAAAAGTTTTAAGTAACAAAGGGTCTCATTTTTAGTAGGAAATGAAGCATCCTCATTCTAATTCAGCTGTGATCCCCCAGAGAAGGTTGCAGAATTTTTCAGTGGAAAGCCTTTTCCTTTAGCAGGAGAAATGTGAAATTCAAAGGAACTGAACTGATGTAATTTAACTATGAGTTCATCTACTCAGGAAATTAAGGACTTTTTTGTTTATAGCCCCATGTTTCAATGGTTATTTATGACAGTAGTGAATTTTAAATGGATTTTAATGGAAATAGTTTCTCTTTGCCTATCTAACTGTGATCAATAACAATTCCAAACTTCTTATAATCATTTGTATCAGACTAATCCATTTATAGAAATTGTTATGGAATCCCATGTGTCATTTGACTGCTAATTACCATGATCTGTGACACATCTGCTGGAAGGCTCTTAGCTGCTTTCAACACTTAACATCAATAACATCACAGTGCCATCTTTCTTTTAAGTTGTTAGGAAAAGTTATACGTAGAACCTCAACCAGCTGCAATAGAATAAGAAGGAAGCTTGGGGGAGCATTGTTGCAATGAATTTAAGGTTGAAAAAAATGATACTGTTTTAGTTCATTTCTCACAAAAACTTAAATTTATGCTGGAAACTACAAATAATGTTGGCTCATTCTAGTTAAGAAACGTTTATTAACATTAAGAGGAAAAGTAAGCAAGGAATACGACATTCATGCTGTTAGAACAGCAGTGGTTTTACATTGTCACTCCGTCAATATTTAGTAATTATCAAAAACTTTGTTGAATCAAATTTTTACCTTCTGGCACACTTCTGAACATCTACAAAGCTTGGCTTTAAAGCCTGCCATTTCTAAAAGTGGTTGCTGCATTATTTCAGGCCTGTGTGTACAAGGCAGTGGGCAGACCTTCAGCAGTGCTGAGCAATTCCTTATCTCCACTAGGAAACAGCAGAACCCAACATTCCAGGTGCAGAATGTCACCGAGCACCTTAACCAATATTTTAATCAATAAATGCTTAGCAAACAGTGGGTAAGCCAAGCTTCACAGAGCTTGATTATGTTTCAAGCGGGTTAAAGTTTGCATAGGTAAATGACTGCAGACATTTTTAGAAACTGCTTTGGCTCAGTGGCTATCTTGTTAAAGCATCTGCACATGCAGGCATGGCACACTGGGACTGGGGTGGGCTTTCTCTACAAGTTATATACACATAAACCCTCAGGTGGTGCACTGTGGGAATGATCTGGCTGCGGATGTTTAAAGGTAGTAAGATGTTTGCATGCAGGGCTAGCTGTGTGCAAAGACTTGACTCAGACTTTTTGGGATGTGAGTTAGACCAAAGAGGAAAGCTGTTGGGTGAAAAATCAAGATCATATGAGGTACTGTAAATTCTTGAAACAAAGTTTACTGTTCTGGGTTTGTACGAACATGATTGTGACTTGGACATCACAGCACCACTGCAATGCAAATGAAAATTTACGGTCAGTCTGATTCACCACTAGGAGAAAGTGCACTGAGTGCATTGTTCACTGGCTGCAAGGCTGTGGAGTTTTGGGTTGTGACCACAGCAGGATGAAAATCAAAGACCACCATGGGAAGCACCGAGTAAAGGAACTGCCATCATATGGAATCATCAGTGCTCCTAATCCTGTGCCTCTGTTTCAGAGGAGTGAAATGGGGTAAGCAGTGGAGCCCTTCATTGCTGGGACTGAGTCCAACCCCTCTCAAGTGAAGTGACCACCAAACTTACTGCCAGCTGGCAGGAATTTGGCAGGTTCTCTCAGATACGCTTGCGAGTTTCAGCCACATCTTAGTGGACTGGCATACAGACACTAAGAATCACACACAACAAATTGCAGAGAAAAAGAAAATAAATCCAGCCCACCAGTGGTCTGATGCCTCACATGCAGCACCCATGAGAATTCTCCTTACTCCTGTTGAATGAAACCTACACCAAACAACCAGCATCTAATTGTTGCAGACTTTCCACAAAACTCATAACCTCTACAAACTAACAAGTCTTTTTCTGTCACGTAGTTCTCACAGCTGTGGTTTAGAAAGCCGGATTGCATCAGGGAAATAGAACAGAATATCAACTCAACAATTCATAGGAAAAAGGCCCTTAAAGCTGTTAAACCATAAACAATGAGCTAATTAAACACTGCGGAACGCAGCGAACAATGAATTAATGTTTCTTGTGAATGAGACATTGGCAATAATGTGCCATTAGATAACAGGATGTTTGCATAGATACAGCTCAGGAAAGGCCATACTGCCATACTCCGTGTCACTTACAAGGAAAATTTGTATTTGGATTTTCTTTGAATCAGATGTGGTTCTTCCCTACGTCTTTGGGCCTTGCATTTACAATGGTCCTTCTTTCCCCCTGGACTTTGTTTCTGAAGCAAATAGGAAAGATACTGGTCACATTCGGTCTGTTGTCTGTGCTCTGAGGTATGATTATGCCCTAAGGTATGTTGTCTAGTCTAGTTTTGATTGTCTAGGTGGCTCCTGCCACTTCCTGCAGGAGACTTTTCCACAGTCTATTAGAATTCACTGTCAGGAAATGTTTCCTGTTTAAAAGCTTACATTTTCCACTTGCTTATCTGCATCCCATCACTCCTAGAAATATCACTGAACCACCCTAAACAATTCTTTTCCCTCCCTGGTGTTTACAACATTCAGATAGCTCCTTCATAATCTGCAATTCCTGCCCTTGCTGCATCCATCCTTTGTCCCATCCCATGACAACCTGCCCTTCACCTTTCTGCTTCAGAGTCTGTCCCGCTCTCTTTCTCTGAAGCTTCTTTCTGACATTCCTCTGACCCCACTCCTCTTCCGCCCAAACCTCAGCTCCCCTGTTTTCTTTCATGTTGTTTACCTTATTACCTGGAACAATACAGAGGATATTTTGTGGGGGCTTTGTGATTTTGCAATTGAGGTGCTGAAACCATTGCTGTACTATCAGCGGCGCTGCAGGATGTCGCAGATCATTCTCATAGATTTCATTAGCTTGTGAGTTAAGCCATGAGCATCCGTGCTTAGGACAGCATTAGATACTAACCAGGATTTCCAACAGCTCCTTGTATTACTGACATTAACTTGAGACAGTGCTGCTGTTGTCTTTGGCAGTACCATGACACAGTGTACATACTCATGCTCACCTGTGCACTTGGACTTAAAATTGCTGTGTCGTCATCCAGTTCTGGCTCTTACGCTGTGTTATGGACTCTCAACTTATGTTACAATGCACCATATAAGAGTTGTTACCCTGACTTCACTGAGTTTTACTTTACAGCAGGGCTGAACTGGGCTGAAGGCCTCCTCTTCCTTCGCAGGCAGTTAAATTTAGGGAGTCTGTCTTGGCAAGTAAGCAGCCCTACTTATCTCTGCTTCTTCCTTGTCAAATTTACAACTGATTTCCTGACCAAAGCTGTTTCTTGGCACCAAAACAGCTGCAAAACAATACAATTACGCATTGTTTTCATTTTATTGTAAATGTTTTCAATTGTTTTAGCTATCAAGCCTAGCTTGGAAGCCAGAGGAAAAAATTCCTTCAGTTGAGAACTCCCTCTTCTGTTCACTTACGCAGCTGGATGGAAGAGGACAGTGCTACTGGCTGGAAGCCAGAACGTCAGCAGTTGCTAATGTGCCATTGTGTGATGTAGGAAAAGACCCTTCAGCTCTTTGGACAATGGTCAGACTGCCTGAATTCCATCAAAGTTCCCCACTTGGTCCTGCTTGTTCCCACTTTCTGCCCCACCTGGACCTGCTTGGAAGCCTGCATCTCTGACTGCAGGGAGGCTGGTTAGCTGAAAATTGCTCTCTTAATTTGCCTGTCTTCAGAAGAAAGTTAATTAAACCATTTTTAACCTTTGAATAAAGTGCTTGGCAATTTAATAAGCGTCTGACTGCTAGCTGTTTCTACGAAACATACTTCATCTCTTGAAATAACCTTTATGCCGCTAACAGCCGAAGTACCGAGGCAGTAAGAATACCTCTGTCGCTCTTTGTAATCCCTCCTCTCTCTCTTTCACTGACTGGCTCTTTTGTTTGCCCCTTAAGATCTCTTCACCCTCTTTCAGCCGTGTCCTCTGACAACCCCTTGTTCCCGAGATGCTCAGCTGATAGCGCTCCTGCCTCGCAGGGAGCCCGGGCTGCCCTCAATGCCGCAGCTCCCCTGGCTGCGGGTGTCCGCCTGAGTCAGGTCCGTGCAGCCGAGGGAAGGCTGGCCTTTTCTATGAAATTACGAGTGCTGGTTTTGCACTCGGTGTATTTTTAGCTTTGGTTTGTGTTGGGACAGGAGTATTTTTAGCTGGCTTTGAGAAACGTATTATCTTTAGTACAAAAGAGCAAGCAACTTAAGTGCAAGCGGAATCTAAGTCTGTCTTTCTAATTAATGACTTGCTAAACACAAACCAAGCATGTATATATCTGTCTTTGTATATGTTTTTAGGTATTACTCATTCTCAGGAAGTTCTCATCAACCACTCTGACAGGCAAAATCAGTTCCAAATGTTTACATCTATCTCTAGCGTTATTAAAACAAATGCTAGTAATCGTTCATCTCTCTTCTATTCATTTTTACTTGGAAGTTGTATTTTTCATAATGTTATGCACCCATATGTATGTGTGTAGGTATTGCTTTCCAGTCCATTACAGGGACTTAGGCTCAAAGATAAACTTTAGTATGGTAATGAGGGGACTGCATCTGATTTGAGCACAGCATTTATAACTTGCACATGTGTACATAAATCACGTGCTCAATGATGTCTTACTCTGCAATGCATATAAGCTAAAGAGGATTATAGAGATTGAGAGGTTCTAAGTTTACTTTATAAATACTTGTAAATGACTTCCTTTGTGTCACATAGTGAGGAAGATAATTTTAGCTCTGACCTGTGATACTGTTGTAACTTCTGTCATACATGTATATCCTCATAAATCTCCTATATCAAAAAAGGAAGCTGACTTTTAGCAAGAATAGAGTATCCAGGGCTAAGGTGATAGCTTCTGTGGGGAAATTTGCTTTGCTTTGTTTAAACAAAGCAGTGCCAAACAAAATCCAAGCAATATCTTCTTGAGTATTTTAAAAATTTAATTCAAACAAATTGCTATCTGGTTTTACAGCCCTTCCTCTAATGTTCTATGCTGGATTTCTACTGACTGTTCCTGCAGCTAGGTGTTAGTAACTAACCACTGACCATTCCATGTGCTCTGCACCCTGTTAACAAAGCATCACCTACAGTGCCACAAACTGAGGGGAAAAAATATATTTGTATGGAGATGGACATAGAGATGAAGAACTGAGCCTCGCATTGTGTCTTAAAGACCTTGAGGTTTATGCTGGTTGTTTGAACAGCTAAGAGGAAGCTATGAAAGTGCTTATCTGCTTCCAGTTTTCAAAATCCAACTGTAAAATTTATAACAAGTCATGATTCCAGTTTTAAGTACCACTGCACAACGTGCATCATGTAAATGTTAATCCAATGCTTTTTGCTGTAGGAGAAAGACAAATAATTTATAAGCTGAAGTAACGTTACTTGTCACCTATGAATACCTCCTGTGTACATTTTCTGTAATGTTCCTTTCTTTCCCACAGAACTGAAGTGAATGGCAGCATGAACGTACCTGGCTTGAATGCTGAGAAGGATGAGGTGATGCAGCACATTGCAATTTTGTATGAGGATCAGCTGAACAGTGAGTACAAATTGATAACAATGTGGTGTTCTCACAAGGTGATCTTTAAATTGAGCTTTGATGACGCGACTGGGTCCAGTGTGCGTACAGAAAGCTGCCCACTCATTACATGTCACCAGAAACAGGCTGCTATCTGCTGACCAATGGTTTTTGAACTTGGAGCTGTGATGCCCTTGGATGCACCAACGTAGTAAAACATCTGTCTGCTCAAGAGCATCAACTCCTACTGTCTTAGGCACAACACAAATACGACGAAGCACAATTCATGTCACCTGGGCAGTCATTCAGAGCTACATGCTACATGCAATGGCTGCTCAGCAGTTCAGGGTGAAGGGGCAGGTTTTGGTTTTATGTGCAGCAGAGCCAGCAGAGGTCATCTTATAAACTTACTTGTGTAATTCTTAAAGTGAAAGTCAGGATCTGCAGATGAATTTAAATTACAAGACGTGACTAAACAGTGCATGCTCTTGATCAACTTCACACATCGACTAACTTGACGAGAATCAAAGCATTCCTGTTCTGACATAATTGATTCCTATGTGTAATGTGGATGTGTTTGGATACTATAGCAGGCTCGCTACAGAAATGAACAAAGGTAAAAGCATTTCAAATTTCATTCCATACACAGCTCTAATGCCTTTTAGCTGCCTTTCAGGAGCCCTCCAGCAATGTGCAGTGTCGTTTCATTGCCTGCTGAGCTTGGTTCCCTGTCTCCCCAAAATAAAACAGGCTGTTACAGCTAAATGAAGAGCCACTCTATCTCATCTGCTGCTCTAGCATAAGTGCTTTTCTGTCTTCTGCTGAGAGAATGAGAAAGCAGTTGTTACAATGCCATACCTCTTTGCACCTTTATCATAAGCTTTAGAAGGAAAGAAGTGCATTCTGAGATTACAGGACTTGCATCCTTGGTCATCCTGTATCCATTCTTCTCACATCCATAAAACTCCTTCAGTTATAACCGAAATATGAAACCCACAAGGAGTATGGCAGTGGCTCATCATATCCTGAGCTGCACCTCTGTTGGCAGCAACAGTCCCTTTTATACAGCTAAAATGTAATTAACCCTGTATTTAATGGAAAAGTTTGTTAGTAGAATTTTCAGTGTTGAAGATATTGAGCACTTGGCGCTATTACTGGTTAGTCACAATGACAGAGCTAGAAAAACCTCTGCCTTCTGAAGGTTGCTCGTACAGTTGATCTAGCTGTGCAGACAGTCGGAGTGCAGAGCGCTATCAGTGGGTGTCTCCTGCTCTGAGTGCACATTCAGCAACTTGCGAAATGTGACCTCTTCTTCTTGTGTACAATGGATCTGACACGGGATACGCTGATAAATATGGACTATGGTAAATATTCACAGATAAGGCACCAATAATATTTCAGCAGCTTGAATGATTCTATGAAAAAAAGGAGAGAAGGAAGCCCTAAGACATATCTTGTATAACAATCATAACTTGAGTTCAAAAGTCTGTCTGTGCTGAGACTGCCAAGGTAACTTGTTGGAGATAATGTCAGGGTCCATGCCATTCCTCTTAAAGAAGTTTATTTTTCAGTGATGTGTGAAGCTGGCTCTAACACCAATACCAAACTTCTAGATGGAAATATTTTCCTCTCCACTACAATTGTTGTCCTCCGAATGGCACTGGACTGAATGTATCTTTAATAAAAGCTCTCTCTCAAAAAGTTTGGAAAGTTTCTGATGTAACATTGCAGATACTTTGCTTCACTTCTATTCATCTAATAGCAGTTCCAGAGGGTCATTGATCTCTGAGATGATTTGCTTCTGTGTGAAGTCACAGAGGGCTGTTAGCAACATATATTTTTTTAAAAAGTAAGTTCTATGCTAAGATACCAAGAGAGGTCAAGTTTGAAGCAACTTAACATACGAGCAGCTATTGACATTGGCCATGTAAGTGTGGTGAGTTTTGAGGCTGCCTGTAGTAAGGAAACAGCCTGGTACAGGCATGTTAAATGTATTGATAAGGGGGTAAGTCTCAAGGTAGTTCTGAAAAGTGACAAGAGCAGGAAAAAAAAAAAAGATACAGGAAAATATTATTTAGGCAGATGCTCAAAAGTCATAGCTTCTTAAAATGTCCAGCCTTTAAGGTAGCGTGTAATGTACCCTGTGAAGCTTCTACCTCATGAAAAGATTTGGAAAGGAAGGTGAGAAGAGAGCAAGTTTCTTGAGCATTAATGTCTGTGCCATTAATTCTACACTCAGAAAAGAAATGGAAATTGTAACAGTTTGTGGGGAAAAAAAGAACAAAATGTATTACATGCATTCCCTGTGTTGATTCTTTCTGTTAAAATACTAATTGCTAGTGTTAATTTAATAATACCTATATGGGTTTTCTAAGTGGTCTTCTAAGATTCTGTAATAAATGCCTTAACAGAACAGTAAATTTAGCAAAATATTAATTAATCAGTTATAGATTTCTATCAAGCAAATAGTTGTAGACTTTGGAAGAGCAAAGGTTCTTTTTGCTGTTTTGTACCTGTACTACATTTGGAAGCCTCTGGAGACAGAAGAGCTACAAAATACAGACTGAAGAAGAGAGAACTGTGAGGTATGGAGCTGGAAAAGGCAAGCTACTGGTTATGGAGCATTTAGAACAAAGAAATAAAATGTGAGGAACACCATCATTACCCCAGTGCTTATGCAGTGCTTAAGGCTGTATCTGAGTACCTGAACCCTCTGTTACTTTAAGTCTGGAAACTGAATCTTGAGCTGCTTTAAAACCAGGTCCCTTTAATGGGCTCTTGGTGCAGTGCTTCCCTCTGATACCTCTGATAATACTGTATCTTTTTTTTTCCCTTAATGCAGTCCTGTCTATTTTAGTGCAAACAATAGACCCTTCATTATATTAAGGACTGCAGTGTTTATTTTTAATTTTGAGACTGTGTGCTGATATTTACATAGGAAAGGGTATTTATTCAATGTTATAGTGCTGCTGATTTAATAGAAGCATAAAAATATCTCCTTTTTTCAATACTAATTATAGATTGCTATTTAATCTAGTCATTGTAAGTGCACAGTGCACTTATGTACATAGTGCATAGAGTGCAAAAATAGATGGATCTGCTGGGCTAATGCAGCAAAAGACATATTGCTCCTTCTCAGTAGGCAACTATAAGAATTTGATCTTATAAATGACAAAGCAATATGAGTAGAAATCTAAAATAAGCCATTTGAAGTTTTAAGAAATACATTATTTTACTTGTTTATTTTTTGCATATACGTACAAATAACCACAGAGATCAAGCCAAACCCCAGTGATTTTTCTTGGAGGAGGAAGGTAACTAGAATTTCTAAAGATGAAAAAAAATCAACACTCATTATTCATGAGAGAAACCTGTATTTGATATTTTCCCACAAATGAAAAAGGCAGAGAAATAGATAAAACATTCATTTTTTCATATAGAAGAAGTAGAGAGTTTGCCCTGTAAGCTCCAATGCTCAGAAACAAATAATAAATAAGAGTAACCTTGGTATATGGGGTTAGAAATAACAGAGAAGGACTTACCTACTACCTCTGTCTTGAGAATGTGCAGAGAGAACAGAACAAGGAACAGCAATTCCATTATCTATTTTAAATAGGCTCAGTGTTGAAACCAGAATTGATTAGACTTCTTAGTATGTGATCATATTTCTGCTCTCAGTTTTATACTGGAATAAGTAGTCCTGGACAGACCTGAAAGCCATAGCCAGGAAGGTGAACTCCTCCCCCTTGTAATTTCCCCAGATTTACTCTACTCACGGTCTGCCTAAATTCATTTCTCCAAAATGAATGGCAAAAGGAATACAGCTTTCTAGCACTGAACAAGTATCCTGCAGTGAACAGCTAAGACTTTGCAGCCTATGCACATCTAGTAACCTATTACTGAATGTTACATTTCTGTTTTTCTCTGACAGCCACGTGACTTTCAGAGTAATTGTGAATGTATGCATTAATGTTAGAGTCCTGTGTCAAAAAAATCACCCCCACTCCAACAGCACACAGCAACCCTTCAAACAGCAGGTTGGTGACACTGCAGGATGGGATTTCTGTGTGCAGTAACAGGAAGGGTTTAGTAGGTGGCATGCCAGCACTTTCCTTACATTGACTTTGCATTTAGTGGATTAATAGAGACCATGCTTCTTTTTTCCTTTGCATACTTTTTCTTAATGTTCTTTTATATGTGTGTGTGTATATATATATGTACTATACATGTATGTACTATATATACATTACATGCCATAAGTACTCTGTTATACTATATCTAGTATTTTTTTTTTCTGTCCTCTTTTCCTATCTGAATGCTTTAATTCCAAGTGTCTGATTCAGTGCAATTCGGTCTTTATGTTCAACAAACAAAGGTGTGTACACAAGAGTGGCACTGCTACTTTTTGTTCTGCAGTTTCTGTTATACACACATTTTCTAATTTTCATTTGGGACTGGATTTTGACACAGCTGAGGAGGAAAACAAATCAGGGGATGCAAATTCTCCCATTCTTCCAAATGCTTCTCTCTCCATGGGTGTGCAACCCAAATCCTGGGTTGGGTGCAAGGAGAGCAGGACGCTTGACTCAGTGCCTCTCCAGGAAGGAGTGTAAAGGTTGTGGTGTGGCATTATGTTGACTGATCACTGCGGACCTTTATGCCTTTACCAAAAGCTGTGGGCTCTCAGGTGGAGGGCAAGGCCATTGTGGCGTTATATTGGGGTCAAATGGGATCAGGGCTGTAATAACAATGGGAAATCTGACAGCTGACTTATGAGCAGGACTTTATTCATAAAAAAGATAGCTATAAATAACATTCCAACAATGAAGATTTGCTGGTTAGTGTTTTTCCGTCTTGGATTAGATTAAAGCATGAACAGACAATGATTTGCCTAGCACATGGTGCTAAGATAAATAGCTACTGCAGTGATAAGAACAATAAGGGAATTCACTGCATTTTTGAGCTTCCTAGTTCAGCAATCTCTGTGGAGCTATCTAAGCAAGGTGCATGCTGAGCACGTA